CAGGCCAATTGATAGACACAGAAAGTGTGATGGAGGTTACCAGGGGCTGGGAAACAGGGAGAATGGGGCGTTATGACTTAATGCTTACAGAGTTTCTGCTTGGGTGGTGCAAAAGTTTTGGAGACCAACAACTGCCTTCCTCCCCAAAGGCCACCCCGGTGCCAGCTCCCCTCAGGCCCTCTGCATGATCCTTATCACAGGTGCTAGTCTCACTCGCTTCCCAGGACAGGTTAATCATCTCCTTGGATGCGGACTGCTAAGGGTTGGTCCATTCAACCCTTTTATCAACATTGTACATGTAAGGATAAGCCAACTTTGAGTTCCCACATATGAAGCCCCTTTTGGAGGGTTAAGAATCCCCTCTAACTTGGGGCTATTTTTTTTTTTTTTTGAGCAGTCTTAAGGAAGCACAGGGCAAACTGGTGGGATTGGGACTTAGAGGCCATTTCTACAGATTGAAATGAATATCTTATATTTCATCCCTGCCCTTTTTGCCCACTAACTCCAGTTATATGGACCTTTGGGGTGTTGGCTATTGTCTCAGCATTAATTTGTTAAGCACCTAATATGTACTGGTGTTCATGGTGTAACATAAGAAGTTCCAGATTCACAACCTCAAGGACTTTAGAGTCTCATGGGGGAGTTTGCATGGCATACGAATATTCTAAACATCTCAAGCATGGGCATGATACCTTATTTAATGTCATACCCATCTTGTAGTATAAATATGTGTGATTAGGACTCAGCAAGGGAGAGTGCCACACAAGCTGTAGTGCCACCAAGAGGTGTGTGGACATGCGAGTATATAAATTGGGCCTTGAAAGGGGGTGTACTTTTTTTTTTTTTGTGGGTGTACTTAATGTCATTGAATTATACACTTAAAAGTGGTTAATTTCAGAGGCAGAGAAGAAGGGAGAGGACATCCTAGTAGGTTCAAGTGGTGTGATTAGGGGAGATAACCACAGAATCCAAGACATGGTGGGAGTGAATTTAATTCCTGTGCTAACCAATAAGAATCTTTCTTAGTGCAACCCACTCCTATTCAAGTGCAGGGTAGACCCAGCTGCAAGGTGGGGACAAATTGAGAAGGCCCTGAATCAAAAGGAATTGTTTGGAGTCACTGGTGTCCCAGGACCTATGAGATCATCTTATGCAGCTTTGGTAACCACTGCCTTTCCAGTTTCGAGAGGACTCATTGTTCTCCAGGCAGAAAATGGCCCTCACAGATGCTTTGGCTGGTCCTAGTGCTTGACACAACCCCTCCCCACCCAGGCACACCCATCTGTCTCCAGCTTTTATTCTGTGGCCACCACCCTGGTCAAGACTCTCATCACTCCACACCTGGAATGACTGAAACGGTCTTTCACCTGACCTCTCTGCCCCCAGGCTCACCTCTGCTCCAAACCACAGGGCAGACATTGCCATCTAATGTGCCTGCAACGACATCAATGCCATGGCCTTCCTTTGCTCCAGAGTGTCGGGGCTTGGATCTGAACTTCTCTCCATGATCTTTCTCATTTTATGTGTCCCACAAATTTCCTGCTGTGCCATAAACAAAGAAATCTCATGCACTTTATTTATTCAGTTTTTCAACCATTTCCTGGCCATTTACTACACCTTTGGCATAGGCAGTGTGATGGGCTGAAGTGTGTTCCCTCAAAATTCATACATCAAAGTCGTCTCCCCCAGCACCTCAGAATGTGACTGTATTTGGAGACAGGGTCTTTAAAGAGGTGATTAAGTTAAAATGAGGTCAGGAAGGTAGACTCTAATCCAATCTGACTGGTGTGCTTTTAAGAGGAGGGGGTTAGGATCCAGACATGCACAGAAGGAAGACCACATGAGGACCCCAGGAGAAGAAGCCATCTGCATGCCAGGGAGAGACGCTCCAGGAGAAACCTGGACTTGATCATGGAATTCCAGCCAACAGAACTGAGAAAATAAATTTGTGTTGTTTAAACTCCCTACTCTGTTGTGACAGCCCTAGAAGGTGGACACGGGCACCTTTGCAAGGCCTGCCATGCAGGAGCTACTCTTTTCTGCTCTCACGCCACACTTTTTCCCTCCACTCGCCTCCACTGCTCCTCTGGTCTGTCCTAATGTAGCCTGACTCCCTCCCCAAGCCCAACTCAACTCTTTCATGCCTCTTCTCTGACCACCCCAGCCAATGGGGTGCTCTCTCCTCCAATTATATAACACCTATTCCAATTTATTCTCTCATCCTCTCTTGTGCATTGTCTTCTCCCTCGAGATCATAAAACTTCCCAAGAGCAATGTACATGTGACTTTTCCCTTATCTCCCATGAAGAGAGAAAGCTAAGGTGTGAAGGAAGGAACCAAGAGTGACTCATCTCTGTGCATTTGCCTTGAGCTGCTGGGTGGATGGTGGTGCATACATAGTAAGATGGTAAAGGCTGAGTGAGGAAAAGATTTGGGCACTTATATGTGCATACACTATTTCCTTAGGAAAATGATATCATACTCTACAGTAGTCCCTCTTTATCCACGGGGGATACGTTCCAAGAGCCCCATGGATGACTGAAGCCACCCAACACTATAGATACTGTTTTTTCCTATACACACATGCCTATGATGAAATTTAATTTATAAATTAGACATAGTAAGGGATTAGCAACTGTCATCTTGCCTGGGACAGTGTGGGGCTTGCCAATCTTGTTCCCCTGGTTGCCTCACCAAATGGCAATGATAGAGATCTTGGCCAGGATGATGGACCTACGGATGGCAATGGTTACCTCTGGAGCACATAACACCCAGACCGATGTGTCCATTGTGAAAGCTGATGGGCAAAAAATGCCTTGCCAGCACTGCTCTGCCTTATATGGGCAGACTCTTCAAAACCTCATCCTTGAGAGATGCCCACAGGAAAAATCAATGACCTTAGAGTCCTTGATGGGCTGGAAGAAGAGACAGATCTCCTCTCCAGACGTGAACGTCATGTCCTTGACCAGGTGGCCCAGCTGGGTGATGGGGGTCCACTCCTTGTCCTCGGCCTTGCCTCCACCTCCCTTTCCAGGGCCCTCCCACAGCACTGGCATCGTCCACCATTCTGTGTTTTCCTGGAGGAGAAGCTGCCACATCCTTTTAAATATGCACAGTATTCCTTGTATTTCTCTCAGTCTTTTTAGCAGAAAAACATCAATGACATTAATTTTCTTAAAACTCTTAAAATGTATAAGGTGGGTGAATATATACTTTATTCCAAGACTGGTTTAGGTTGCCTTCAGAGAGAGGGAGGATTAGAACTCAAACTTTATATGGGAAGGACCACAGAAGCCACCCCCTAGAGTTCCCATGTTTTAGAGATATAAAAACAAAGACCTGGAAAATTTCACCACTTTTCCAAGATCTTTCCAATGGTAAATGCTCAAACCAGTGAAGGATCCAAACCTCCCAGGTCATTCGCACTATATCACAGCACTGCCAAAACAGAGACCAAGCATCCCTTCCCTGGGATTGCTATGCTGGGTTCTATTCCTTTAGCCTAATGTCATTTTTATTAACAAGAAATAAAATTTAAAAAGACAGAACTAAATATGACCCTAGAGGTCCGTTGCTCTGACCTCATCTTGTAGATGAGCAAACTGATGTATCCTGGGGTGGGTTCTGAGCATGATAAATATGTCATACAATGAAATCATATAGTATGTGGGCTTGATTGTCAGGCTTTGATTAAATTCATAAATCTGGGGGCACCTGGGTGGCTCAGTCAGTTGAGCATTCAGTTCTTGATTTCAGCTCAGGTCATGATCTCTGGGTCATGGGTTCAAACCCTGCATTGGGCCCCATGCTGGGTGTGGAGCCTACTTAAAAATATAAAAATAAAATAATAAGTCTGACAATGTTCACGTACTTCAGTCCCTTCAATAGCTTCTTGTTACGTGAAGCCCACACTCCTTCCCACGGCCTCAAAGATCCATTCCTACCTGGCCCCTATGGCTCACCTATTGTCCATTTTGCTCACCGTGTTTGTGCCACACTGTCCTCCTTGCTGTTCTTTAAACAGCCAATTATTTTTTTTTAAGATTTTATTTATTCATGAGAGACACAGACAGAGAGGCAGAGTCACAGGCAGAGAGAGAAGCAGGCTCCCTGCAGGGAGCCCAATGTAGGACTCGAGCCTGGGACTCTGGGATCACGCCCTGAGCCAAAGGCAGACGTCTGCTCAACCGCTGAGCCACCCGCGCATCCCAACAGCCAAGTATCGATTGAGAATCTATTTAGTGTAGGATCAACTGGCAGACGTTAGAAGAAATACAATGCTGGTCTTTGATGAACTTCTAAAAATAAGGGTAGGGGTGAGGAGTAGGATTCATTCTTTCATTCACTCATTCAATAGAAATTATTATCTGCATATTCATTCTAGGTCCAGAGTGCAGCACTGTGGAAATCAAGGCCAACAAGACAAGGACCTCAAGTTCAGGAGGGAGGAGAGCCAGCTAAATTAGCTAGAAAGTAGCATGGACTGGAGCACCTGGGTGTCTCAGTCAGTGGGGCATCTGACTTTTGGTTTTGACTCAGGTCATGACCTCAGGGTTGTGAGATCAAGCCCTACATGGAGCCCACACTCGAACTACATGTTGGGATGACTGGAATAAAGAGAGGAGCTCCCTACATTTCCTGGGGGGCCAGGGAGGCTTCTCAGAGAAGGTGCCAGCTGGGCTGTGTCTTGAAGAATATGAGGAGTTAGTAGATGTGGAAAAAGAATCAAGGAGTGAAGTGGAGGTGGGTCAGGATGATTAGAAGCTTGGAGAACAGCGTGTGTAAGGCTTGGGTCTGTGCAAGGGTTTGCCACACTTGGTAGACTGCTCACTTTTCTATCTTGGGGGCTCCTCAGAGCAGGAAGAGGTGTAGCTGGGCCACGACATGTACAGCCTTACAGGCTAAGCAAAAAATAAAATAAAAGCAACCAATAACAAAATTTTATTCTGACAGTTATTGCCTTTGAAAAGTATAAGTGGGATCATACTGTTTTTTTATAGAGCTCATTGGTGGTGCAGAGAGCGCTGGGCTTTATTCTTGGGTCGCCACAGCCAGGGGCCAGGTAGGAAATTGTTTTACTAATTCAAGCAAAAAAAACCCATAAATGTTTACTTTTATGAGTGTCTACCACATATGCTAGGATTTCTGTGTAAAATTTTGGAGAGTTTTAATTTTGTTTGTTTACCTTCTGCAGGTGACAAAACTGATGTTCCAGAGAAGCTGAGCAACCTTGCCGGAGTCACACAGGTGATGAGCAGGGTGCAGATTGCAGGCTGTCTGCCTCGGTGCCAAATGGAAAGTTCTGCTCCAGCTCCCCTAATGGGAACGTCCAGAGCTAATTCAGGGCAAGGAGGATAACCAGAGAGGACAGAAATGAGAGTGATCTCAAAGGCAGATTTTTGAGGACCCCAGTGGGAGGTGAAAAAGAGGAAGGCATCTGGAATTGTCCAAAGTTTCTGACCTGAACAACAAGAGGTGGTGGCATTTGCTGTAGTGGGAGAAGGAAGCGGGGGCCGGTGAAAGGAAAGGAGCACAGGCTGCACAATGTTACAGGGCAGAAAAGGATGGATGCCACGGGGAGCACGCAGCACCATGCAGGTGCACCAAAGTGAGGCAGGGCACCTGGGGAAGGGTCCAAGTAGGCCAGGTCATTTTAGATTAGGATAAAAGCATTTTGGCCAGGTGACACTGCAAGGGAGAACATTCTAGAGAGAAGAAACAGTGAAGCATGAGGTTATATTGAGGGAAAGGCAGGGATAGGTTTTGAGGAAGGTGCACCCACTCTCTGTGGCTTTCAATGACAGCAGAGTGAGGCACTTTGGGCCAACGAGGAGAAATCCTTGACTGGCCTTGAGGAAGGGAAATCTGTCAGGGTTGATCTAGGTTGATTTGGAATGGGTGGGGAATGGAAGTGGGGAGTCGCTAGGAGGCTTTGCAATAGTGCCAGGAAGAGGTAGCAGAGTGGGATTGGGTGGGGGCATCGAGGTGGGACAGAGGAGGGCGGTATGAAGAGATCAGTGCACATGGGGTGATATTCTTTCATGACTAGATGTGAGGCTGAAGAATGAGGAAGTCATCCGAGATCATTTTGAAAGTTTTGAGCTTTGGTTGAAAGAATTCAATTCTGTTTTGGCGACCCTGACTTATGACAGGGATCACCTCTCTGGACAGCGTGGCCAGAGGAAGGTTGGAAGTTTGTCTGGAGAAAGGTCAAGACCAGAGGTAAAGGTTTGGGGTCATCCTCATGGAGGTCACAACTGAAGTCATGACAGGGGTTCACATTGTCGAGGGCTGAGTGGACAGACACAGAGCAAGGGGCCGGAAACAGCCTGGTGGCTCAGCCCGTGGATGGAGAAGGAGGTGGAGAGGAGAATCAGGGCAGTGGGGAGGTTCAGAAGTCTGAAAGAGGAACTGCAAAGAGGAGGTGACAGAAAGAAAATGTCACTTCAAAACCCAGACCTTTGACAATTTACTATGCTGCCATTGCTCTAGCGCGTCCACCTAAGGGTACGTACGCATATTTTCTCCTTTATACTGTTATGACACACTGGGACTTCTTTTAAAAGACTTTTTCCTTTTCTCTCCTTTTCTCTGCCATTGTGATGTGTCCAGTCGACTGTTCCTTGCCATGTCTTCTCACAAGACTTCCAGGAAACCAAAGTAGGATCGTTGCATCCTCCAGTGGATTTGGATGAAAACCGGAAATAAAATCAGGTACAACTCCAAGAGGAGGCACTGGAGAAGACTGGGGTCCGAGGGGATGGCACATGAGATGGCACACATATTTGTACTGCGTGAAGGTCACGTGCTCCTATCCTATACCTGAACAATAGCCATGTTTTATTGGGGAAATGATTTTTCTACTACTATGCTTCTGCACCAGTAGTTTTGTCCAATAATAAGTATATGAAATCTTTTGAAGAAAGAAAGAAAGAAAGGAAGAAAGAAAGAAAGAAAGAAAGAAGAAAGAAAGAAAGAAAGAAAGAAAGAAAGAAAGAGAAGAAAGAAAGACTTTTCCAAGTACGAACAGAGAACAAAAGAGAACACAACAAACAGCACATTTGCAAGGTACTCGGTATAACCAGATTATTCCGAGGGCCTTGTGGGTGTCCTCCCAAAGGGGAGGAGGGCTCTCCATACCATGGCCTTGAAGGTGGTATAGCTTCTTCGGGTCCCTGTTTGGGCTCCCCTCTTCCAAATATTTGACTGGTTATTCCTACTTGACTGGCTTCCTTCTGGCTGCCTTACACAGGAGTCCCTTCCTTGACTCTTGGCATCTGAAGTCTGGACAGGAAGGCTGCCCACCCCGGGACCTCAGTTCTCTTCCCTTCGTGAGTGACCTCTTGTCCTGGTCGGTGACACTAGGAATCACATCACTCTTCCAATGAGACCTTGACTCTCCCCAGGGCCAGGAGTACAGTGATGGGTTAAAGAGATGAGATAATAGAGCGTGGGCTTGAAATATCTGACAACAGAAGGCAGGGTTCCCTCAGAGTCAGATGTAGCAACCACTGTCATGGTTGAGGAGGCCGGAGCAGAGAAAGAGCCTCTGGAAAATGATAGAAGGGGACTGGTAGGAAGGCAGGCTTGACCAGAGCAACTGCAAGGGATTTCAGAGGGAGCGTGGAGGCCGTGGAAGCCGGAGACATCTGGCCTCTTCTCTCCTACCTTGGAAGCATTGTGATTCCTTCCTTCTTCCTCACCCCCCGCAACACGGCCACTCCCAGTCCCTCCTGGTCACTGGTCCTGGTGGTTCAGCCAGGCAGAAGCAGAGACCTTCCGGTCCTCGGGGACTCCCTGCCCTCTGCGAGGTGGGGAATCCCTCTGTCTTTCTGAGCACCAACCATCTCTCGAGGCCCAGTTGGAATGCACACCCCGGTCAGAGTTTCCATCCTTTTCCATCTGTCCTTTCCTGGCCTGCTCCTCTGGCTTGCGGCGGGCTCTGCTTCCTCTACTTCTGCTATCCTGTGGAAGTCCTAAACCAGGACTTTGAGTTCAGCTGTGCAAGGACAGGAGAATCACAATGGGAAAAAAGGTGCAAGCATACAAGTTTCCTTTGCTTCTGTTTTTGGAATCCATGTTATCACAAGAGACAGTAGAGCAAATCTGATAATGTTTACTAAACGATGGATTTTCAGGCTACGGATCTTAATTTCTTCTTACTAACAGCCAGGCTGTTTACCCCCAAATCTACCAGTCATGCCACTCTTTCTTCCAGGGCTACCAAGCCTCTTTCTGTTGAAGATGTCACAAAGAAGTGACTGTGTCCAGGTCTCGCTGTCACATTCCACGTAAGTATGACAAGACCAGTGCTCATTCTCAGCCTCAACGTCCTCTAGGAAGTTCCAGGATGTGTCTAGTAGCAGGCGGTTCTCTCTTTCCCCTGAGAACTATTTTCAATATAACTATTTGTCTCTTACTCTCTGTGCTTATTGCAGTAAATCTTCTTGTGGCTCTCGTGGGTCTTGGGTGACAGGGCTATGCTTTAGGTATCCACTCACGGGAATAGGATGCAAAAGATTTGGATTCTAAATTCTGACACTAATGAATAGATGAGCCTCCGTAAGTCATGTCCTCTCTCTGGGGCTCAGTTCTCTCATCCATAAATAAAAGGCGTGGGTAAAATCAATGATGTGCTAGTAAATCTTTAATAACTAGCTCTTGGTGGAAGAGGCCGGGAGAAAGAAGCCCTGATTTGTAGTGTTTGTTAATTTCTGTGGTGTAAATATCCCACCAAAGTCAACTGGCTTATAAATTTCCTGAAAATTTAGTCTTGGGCCCTGGTGAGACAGCACCCATCAGTTTTAATACAACTTTGGATAAGATCAATAATATACATATTTTAATCCGGATACTCTTTGATATTATAGATCTAAAAGTCCCTTCCAGCCCGACAATTCCACAATTCTATGATTCTGACACTGGATGGCTTTTTTTTTTTTTTTTTAATTGTCAGGCTACACCCAAAACCTAATTCACAGCACTCACTTGCTGCGTAAGTTCGCTGGCATCCTGATTGAAGGTGGCTTTGGTCCAGATTTGGAGCTATCCTCCCTCTTGAACAAGCAGCTCTGGTCAGAGGCCTTTGAACTCAAAGCATTCTGAAGCTCTCATGGCCTGGGAGTTGGGACCCTGGGTCTTGAAACTCCAGGAGTCATTTTAGAGTTGTTCTTGCCTTCAGCCGAGTGGTCAGATGGGTTGCGATTCATCACCATGTGATCTCAGCCACTGTTTCCCAGGATGCCTGGAAGCGAGGAAGGCCTGAGAGCAGAGAGCAGAGAAAAAACAGGGAGGAGAAGGAGACATGCCTAGGGTAGGGCTCATGCTGAGTCGTCAGCGGGTGTGAGTCACTCCTGTCTCCTCTGGCAGCCACACCTTTTGCCCAAGTTCTGAATGCCAGGTGGAGAATTTGCCTGCACCAAGCTCCCTTGATCAAGTTGGAACAGGTTTCCCAAGGGATCATTCCTATTAAATTAATGGAATCAAAATAAGCTGATCTCTCTTGAAATGTGATTTATGTATTTCTTTTTTGTTTCCTAAGTGTTTACAGGGACCCCTGAAAGTTAGATGACAGAAAAGAGGAAGAAACATACTTTGATATCCAGGGGGTTGGAGATTGGCAGATGGAGGTGGGTGGTGGGTGGTGGGGCAGTTCATATTATCCATTCCTGCCCTCCCATCCTCCTCACCAGCTTGCAAAGAAACCAAGCTGAGTGCAGTGAGGAGTGCAAGGGTGTGAATCTTCATGAGTTACCGTATTATGATCAGGATCTTCCATTTTGTGTGTGTGTGTGTGTGTGCCGCGCGCGCATCTGCACACAGGTGCCTGCAACCAATACGGAATTGAGAAGAAAAGGTCTAGGGGTACCTAGGTGGCTCAGCTGGTTAAGCCTCTGACTCTTGGTTTCTTTCTTTTTTTCTTAAGATTTTATTTATTTATTCATGAGAGAGAGAGAGAGAGAGAGAAGGAGAGAGAGAGAGAGAGAGAGAGAGAGGCAGAGACACAGGCAGAGAGAGACGACTCTTGGTCTCATGGGTCCCGGGATCAAGCCGAGAGTAGAGCCCAGCATCAGACTCCACACTCAACTAGGAATCTGCTTGAAGTTTCTCTCCCTCTGCCCCTCCCCCAACTCTCTCTCTCTCTCTGTCTCTCTAAAGTAAATAGATTTAAAAAAGAAAAAAAAAGAAAAAGAAGAATGTCTAGAAGGGAAAGATTTGGCATATAACTAGCTTTCAAACCTCACCTCCATCAGGACCTATCAATCAAAACCAAAAATGACTATTTTTGAGGATGTGGAGAATGCAAACCGGGGGGGGGGGGGGCACTGTTGGTGGGAATGCAAAAATACAGTGCAACAGCTGGAGAATTAGTTGTGATGAGTCCTGAAAATATTAAACATAGAATTACCACATGACCAGCAATTCCACTGCTGGATATATATCCAAAAGCATTGAAAGCAGGACCTCAAAGAGACATTTGTATGCCCATGTTCACAGCAGCATTATTCAGAGTAGCCACAGAGTGGAAGCACCCAAGCACCCGTCAATGGGTAGGTGGAAAAATAAAATGTGATCCATATAGATAATGGAATTTACTCAGCCTTGAAAAGGAAGGAAACACTGACACAGGCTACAGCATGGATGAACCTTGAGGACATTACGCTACGAGAAATAAGACAATCACAAAGAGACTAGCACTGTGTGGTTCCATTTAGAGGAAGTATCTAGAGTAGTCAAATTCCATAGAGAAAGAAAGCAGAGAGGTGATTGACAGGGCCTAGAGGGGAGGGAGGAAGGAGAAGGTAGTGCTTAATAGGTGCGGTGATTCAGTTTGGGAAGATGAAAGAAGTGCTGTGTGTGGATGGGTGGTGACGTGTGCGCGACAGTGCCACTGAACTATAGGGCCTTAAATGGTTAAAATGGTAAATGCCATATTGTTGTGCATTTTACCACAATTAAAAAAATTCACACACACACACACACACACACACACACATCTTGGAGACAAACTATGTGGATTTGAATCCCTGTTTCATGGCTTGGTTGGAAATATTGACCAGCCTGAGCCTTTGTCATGTGTCCCATGGAGAGGACAATGAGATTCACTTCTCAGGGCTATTGTAAGGTTTCAGTGGGACAGCCCAGGTGAGGCTGGTTTGGTTCAGCGCTCTGTTTGGTACATAGCCAGCACTCAGCGGTAGCTACTTCTACCATCGAATGCTCAGGCATCGATTGTGGGAGGTCGACTAGAAGCTGGCTATTGGCAATCTTGTGTAACTTGTCCTTTTAAACTTGATCCAAAGGGGATCCCCGGGTGGCTCAGCAGTTTGGTGCCTGCCTTCGGCCCAGGGCATGATCCTAGAGTCCTGGGATCAAGTCCCACATCAGGCTCCCTGCATGGAGCCTACTGGTGTCTCTGTGTCTCTCATGAATAAATAAATAAAATCTTTTTTTTTTAAATAAACTTGATCCAAAGAAGAAAAAAAATGATTTCCCACCACAAGTATTCATATTCATAAATATATGCACCAGGAAGGCCCACACGCATATGGAGTAAAGATGATTAATGTCGCCATTTGCCATACTCATTTCATATATTCCAAAGTTGTCTTTTCTACTAAGATATTGGAGTCTGGCTTTGCCCTGGGGCAGATTGCATTTAGGTAGAGATGTTTTAGGTTTCTCAACACTATCCAAGATTAGACCTTTGTTTTCTATAAGGAATTGCTGGAATAACATCTGAGGTTTTGTGATGTTGTCGACATAAGCTTCCAAGGAAGGCCCATGGTGACCAAGCTGGGCCTGTAGTCAAGGCAGGAGCAAAGGCAGGGCCTGCCTCTATTCTCCATCCTACTAGAATCATTCTTCTGGACCCTCCACGGCCCTCTTGATGCTCCCCACTACAGCAGTCACCCTGTCGCCTTCTGGAAATTGCTGGTAAAGTTTATCTGAGGAAGGCTCAGGAAGCCAAGGACAAGGAGAAAAGCAGATAAATACTAGAAAGGCCTACTATGTAGATTTGAGAGTATATTTAGGGATAAAATATGCAAAATATGAATTGTAGTATTGCAATTCCAACGAATATTTTCAGAAAAATGATTCTCAACTGGGGTAGGGGGAGGATTTGCCCCTCTACTCCCTACTCCCCCGGGGGGGTGGGCGGTGGGACATGTAGCAATATCTGAAGACACTTCGGGTCATCACAATTCATAGGCTGGTGAGGGTGCTGCTGGCACCCTAGTGGGTAGAGGCCAGGGATGTTGCTAAACATCTTACAATGCATAGAGTAGCCCCCAGAACAAAGGATCTGGGCTAAAATGTCAATAGTGCCAAGGTTGAGAAATCTAGTTTTGATAACAACCAGAAAAGATGAAAAGAAATCATCTCCTAGTGATGCTACAGGTATTACCCTAATTTATCTTTTTGTTTTCAATAGAGATATTAAAATTTAAGAATGGATTTGGTTAGGGAGGGAGATTTTCATTACAGACTATCAAGACTTCTTGAGTTAGACCTTCGCTATATTAGTCAGAACTTGTTTCTTATCTTGCTCAACTTTCAGAAGGAATTTGTCCAAACATGAAATCCCTTTAAACTTCACAATGCATTACACCTGGGAAACAGCTTTATGGGCCACAGATTAAAGTGGGAAAAAGGTGTGCAAAAAGGCTCTAAGTGATCTGCGGAGAACCAGCGCAGAACGGGAGGCTCCCCCATGGCCTGGAAGACGAAACCGCATCATTGTATGTTCCCGAAACACCAGGCTCAGGAGAAGAAGCAGCATAGCTGCAAGCAGGTTCTGCGTCTACCTGCCTGCATTGCAATCTTGTCTTCAGCAGACAAACTGTGACCTTGGGCAAGTTTCTGAACTTCTTTGTGCTGCTATGTTCTTGCCCCCAAAATAGGGATAACAGCACGCTATACCCTGCAGGGTTGCTGGGTGGATTAACTGACATAGTTAAGACAGGAAAAGCATGGTGCCAGGGGCTTTGTAAGCCCTCTAGAAATGCTGTGCATTCCAGTGAGGATGGCAAAGTGGAACATGCCGGTGAAGGTGAAGGAACAGAATATATTTCCTTTTTTAAAAAAATTAATTAATTAATTTATTTATTTATATTTCCTTTTAAATATAATCAGCTTTTGTTGGTGTCTCTGTGACTCAGTCTCTGGGTTGCTTTAAAACTGGAGGAAGACAATTCTTTTTCTCTACTCTGGAAATGACAAGCCATACTTACAGCAGCACCAGAGAATGCTTACAAAATTAGAGGATAGGGTAGCGGAGAAAGAAGCCAAGAAAGAATTTAGATCATTCACAGTGAAAGCAAATTTAAGGACAGGCTTTGTGCTTACACAGATCCTAGGTGCGCACCACACATTCATCGACAGATGAATCTACGGGGCAAGTTTTGGAAGATGAGAAGCAACACTATCTGAAAGGAAGGTTGAATCATAAAGAGAGAAATCGCTATGTACGTGAGGCTCTGGGTTTACAGAATATTGCAGGAGTTTGGGGAAGCTCCAGCAAGAACATTCACAATGGTTCTTATATCTTGCTGCACACTGGGGACTCTTTTTGAGAGAGAGAGAGAGAGCAAGTAGGGAGCAGACAGAGGAAGAGAATCTCTAGCAGACTCCCCACTCAGTGCGGAGCCCAACGTGGGTTGGATCTCACAACTCTGAGGTCATGACCTGAACTGAAATCAAGAGTCAGTCACTTAACCAACTGAGCCACCCAAGGTGCCCCCCTTGGGGCCACTTTTAAGAATCCTACTTCCCAGCTCCATCCCAGACTAACTGAATCAGGACCTTGGGGGCTGGTGCCCAGACATCTTGCATTTTTCAAGTCCCCAGATGATTCCAGTGAGCAGCCAAAGTTGAGAGACCAAGGTTTCTTAAACTTGAATGTTACAGGAATTGTCTGGGAATTTTATTAACACTCA